ATCTGCCTCGGCAAACGGTATTAGTCTTCCCGTCATTTTCCTTTCCAGGAAGTATTGTTTAGCTACCGTTCTAGGCTCGCGAGAGTTCGCTATTTTCAGCGTTCGCTAACGAGGCCACCATCTTTATTGGGCGCACAGTCTTATTGTCAACCCTTTTGCATTCCACTGTCCAGCCACTTAGAGGCACCCTACTGTTGTGAAAGTGATCTAAGGGAAGATTGTGACCAAGGCTCGAAAATTTCAGAAAAAATTCAGGTCGGAGCTCGGGATTTTAATGAAAAATACTGATTAGAGCTCAGAAATCTAAGACAAAACTCCTCGAAACCGCCAACCAACGCCTAGCCATTGTGCTTTGAATGCAAGGGTTAATTAAAACCCACCTTCGTTTCGATAAGACATCTCATACCCTGGAGTTGGTTTACGCTTCCTACGACGCTCGCGCTTTAGCCGATTGGCCGCGTGACAGGCGACACGATAATTATCCGAAGTTCGGGTCCCGAAGTCTCTGGTGATTACGGGAAACGTTGTTCCCCGTCTCTTACGGAAAAAAGAGCGAGGAGATCGAAAGTGCAAGGCAACGGGGCAGAGAGCCTAAGGAGCGTATTTTACGATCGAATCGATTATCCACGGTTCTGCACGTGGGTAACATCGCCGACGAACGTGTGTCGGGACGAGCCAGTGTCAAGGTCTTCCACGGGGCTTGGAAACTGTTCGCGGATTTAGTTACGGCCCGTTGTTGCCTTTCCTCGCGGCACTTACCAGCGGGAGGATGCGGCGCAACCTTAATCCTTTAACGCGGGAACCCTCGGACATTTGTCGGACGCGAAATTGCCGCTCGGAACTGGACGCTGACATGCAGCGGGTATTTTTTGTCGTCGTTACCCTTGGCCAGGACTTTCAATTAGACACGAAACTCAATTTCGATTCGGTTTCACTCCAGGGGAACGGCGATTCGCATACCTTTCCTTCTTCTGCGATATTTTATGTCTTTATGAACGTGGACTGCGGACCTTTTTCATTTGTAGTTGAATGGTCGCGATGAGAGATGGAAATAGCATTTTTAGATGAGGGTTTAAAGGAGCAGGTTGTTTTCAAGTCCAAATTGATCGAGATAAATGGGGAACGAAGGCAATATCTGTGATTGAGACTAGTTAGGGCTGGTGACAAGTTTTCTGTTTAGAATGGCAATCCCTCTAGACTTTAATCCCATTTTATTCAATGCAGTCACTCCATAAACAAAACCTTAGATAAAAGACTATCAAATAAACGACTTCCTCTGCATCCAACACGCCACCAAATAGAAACGTCATCGTGCTTAGTCGCGGCGCCGCGGTCGTGCCAAGGACGTCGCGCGTCGTTTCGAAATAGTCTCGATCAAACCAGAACACCATTCGCCATCTCGCGACGGGGGGAGTTCCCGATCCTGGCCGCGGTTTTTTCGAAAACACGGCCTAAGGAGTGCGTTTTACGATCGAATCGATTATCCACGGGCATGCACGCGGCGAATATTCAGCGGGGGAACGTGTGTCGGACGCTTCGCGGCCCCAAGGACTTCCACGGATGGAACTGACGGCGGATTTAGTTACGGCCCGTTGTTGTTGTTGCCTACAATGCGGCTACATTCTCGTCGTGCAACACTGGAACCGTAGCATAGGGGGCCAGCGGTTTACCCCCTCCGGGGGTGGGTGGCGGAGGGGGCAGCAGGAGAAACAAAGGGTCCCGCGGACCCCGATCGCGGAGTTCACCGACACGTATAAACAACCAACTTCGAACTTCGCCGTGCCTGAAACCCGCATTAGCGTTAATTTGCGAGCACCACGTCGGAAAGCTCGATTATTAATACCTCTTTTTCTTTTCAGGGAGACGTTATTTCACGAGGCGCCATCTCGCTGGCAGCCAATACAAAAACCGCGAGGACGAGTTAAATAACGAGTTAAATAACGAGTTAAATAACCGAGATCGCCGAGCATCGGAAAACCAGTTAAAATCGTACGATCAGCGTAAACGGGAAAGGGAGAGCCATACGCGCCGCCTGTCTTCATAAATAGAAGTCGTTATAAATCGCCCGAGCGCCCCCCCCCCCCCCACCCCACCCCCAAAAAAGAAGCGATAACTGCTTCACCCGTGCTAGCCAATTATAAAGCTTAAAAATCGTCGAGTTAATCGTCGGTATCTTAGAATCGGACGCGGGGATGCTGCACCGTATATTCCACGCATGGCTGATAAATTATTTAAATCGTATATCGTCCCTAATGATGTTTCACGCGTCCGCTCGAGGGAGTATAGCGATAGTATGTAGTCTGGTGCCATGGGTCATTTCTACTCTGTCTTAATCAATTATTATCTAATTTTTTAGTTTCTTATCTTTTATAAATTGTAGAGAATTCCCTTGTCAAATTTCGGTACAGTCATACAATCAGTAGTGAATAGAACTTCCGTCAACCCTAACAACTATCCCACGCAACATCCTCCCCGAAAAGTCAACCCGACTCACTCATATCCTCTGCTCTTTCCCCAGTTTTTCTTTATATATCGAGCATCAAGTTGCGAAGAGAAGAGGCTCCACCGTGTACAGTTAGACTGCATATTTAAGCAGCGATATTTTTACTGTCGGTTCGCGGTCTTCTGTCCTTTAACGGTGATGCATTCGTTACGGTACCGCGATGTGCTGTTCGTTATTATACGACTGCTAAGTATACGGTTCATGTATATCGTACATGCGGCTGGTTGACGCCCTTGAACAATAAACCGCACACCTTTGCTCTCCGTCGCTCCGTTATCCTCCCCGTCGCTTTCTCGCTCGCGCCCGCTTCGTTTGCCATCTTCCAGGCCCCGTCCATCGGGTATCGCTATCGCGCGCGGAACGCTGAAAGAAGTTTTGCACCTGCTTTGGCAGGAAACATGTCTCGCAGCCCGAGCGACAGGATGCGTAAAATTAGCGAGGGGATAAATCGAGCGGGTATCCCTGACTTTTAGAGCGTCGTCGTTTACAATGGTTCTCGGAGCCAATACGCGGCTTTCCAGTTCTCAGGTGGCTTTTTACAAAAGTCATAACTCACGTCGAGGCTGTGTACGTATGCACATCACTGCTGGGACAGTTCTTTCGATTACATTTCGAAGATAATGAATGGGCAATTGGAGTTGAATATAAATTTATTCGAGAAACGCCCAGCAGTGATGTATAGGCATACACGCATCTGCGAGTGCAGGTTGAATCGAATCGAGTGGAGTCGACGCGGACCAATGCATGTAGGGCAAAGCGAGACGACTGGAGCTGAGGAGACGGTTTCTAACCCATAGGAACCAATGTAGAAGCAAATAAAAATGCTAAGGTTTCAAGTATCGACTACAGCGTGATAGTTTTCGTACTCTTTTGTTTTTAGGAGGTATGGCAAAGAAAAATGCGATAACAATCTCGAAACAAATCTCTCTCGGGATTGTAAGCTTTCGAACAAGTAGCAGTTACCGGTTGCGCCGCGCTATAAATACTTAAAGACTTGCTAAAGTTGACGTTTTAAAGAGAAAGCCACGCTACCCGCCGGTAGTCTGTTTCTCGCCACGAATTTCTAATACAAAATAACTCGTCGGCAAATGCCGAGGCTGCCGCGAACGTTCGTTCGTAACGCGTGTGCTTATGTAAATTACGATCTAACTGTTAAAGACGGTTTGCGGCGAGAATTCTACAGGCTATACTCTTCGACTACGGTTGATTGTAAATAACTCTCTGTAATGAGGAGAAGTTCTTTGCTCGCGGAGTCCAAGTTAACAATCGCCACGGAGCTAAGTCAATAATTAACGACGCTTCGAGGGGTTAGAAGTGTGTGAAAGTGTGTCTCGAGCGACGGCGATATTTGAGGATAACAATTCGCGTTGCTGTTTCGCACTTTCTATCATTACTTTGCAAAATTTACATTTACGCTTTTCAATTGCACTCAAATAGTTTCGTACACGCATCCACACATGTATTTACTCTATTCGACCTATATCAAAATATTTACTTTCCCTATTCAAGTTTAATACATTTACTTTTTAATTCTGATAATTATTTATTAGATTCTAATTTTGTATTTTTCTATGTGCCAACCGACTCCCCGTTACATGAAATGAAATCGCTCGACTGCGGGAACAGTTCGCACGTGTAAAAAGGTCGAACATCGCTGCAATAGAGGATTCAAAGGAAATCTCGAATCGGACATAGACCGCGAAACAAACGTTTTCCACCGTTTTTACGGAGCCGCAAGCTCGTGGTTCCCCCGTGGAAAGGTGCATCGACCGAGCTAGTCCCGGCCGCGGTAGAATTTTAATTGCAGGCCTGTGTGCTTTTTCTAGCGGCAGTAGGAAGCGAATTACAATCGCAAAAAGGCACGCCAGGACCGACGAGGCCGCGAGGAATCAGCAATTAATTCATCGAGCGCGGGAAATATCAGAAAATTCCCTGAACAACGGTGACGGGGATTACCCATCTCTACTAACCCCACTTAATTAATAACACAGCTGCGTACACTTAAGGGAGAGAATAAATGGAACGTTATTGTTCTGGTAAAGGATTTCTCGCTCCTTACTGATATGGGGGTATAACATAAACATGAAATGGGTGGTGACTCTCCTTGACGGTAGACTTGTTTATTTATATGCCATGATGCGAAATTTCGGTTTACTTATTTAAGGCTATTTCTCAGAACTCGATGTAGTATGGATGTAGTATCTTATAAATTAAAGAAAACTAAAGCTATTATAGGGTGGGGTCTTCTGCATCTATAATTCGTATTGGTCTCGGCCTCGAGGTAAAAATCACTATCTACCCCGCTTTCAAGTGACAATTGTGATCTCAGATTCGAGCAACAAAACCTTTCTTCAGACTATTCGGTCATTATCTACAGGAACACTTTACGCAACTCCAATTTCAATCACAAATTTCTCACTTGAAAGCAGAAATTAATTAATAGGCTATTTCATCCCTAAGAAACCACGATAAATCCACATAGAATCAGTCTGCTTACCTACCAGTACCCCATAAACGCACCTCCAATTCACTCCCCTGTTCTCCAACCAGGAATCCTTGGTGCACAATCCCGACACAAGAAACCGACACTTTTCACACCAATTCTCAACCCGACAGCTCGTATCTTCGTTCACGAATTCAATCCTCGGATCGTCCTACAACCGAATCCCATCGCCGCGAAAGCAAAACTGTTTCTGCACACTTAACCGCGAGAAGTCTCGGTTCGGGGTCACGTTCACACGAAACCCACTTCAAAGCACTTATTAATTCGCTAATCCTAATTAATATTAATGCCAGACCGAAGCGATTCGAGAGCTGCTCGCACGCGCAGTTATCGGCTCCGAATTAGGATCTCGCGAGTGTCCCTTAGACGAATATCGAATAAGAGAGACGAGTACACGCTCGAGCGACAAAAGAGCACACTTTCCCGACGCGGGTGCCCGTAGAATTCCAATTAATCGATTCTGATTATGCTCTCGTTTCGCGACGATTCGAATTTAATAAGCTTTCTATGGAGGAACGTGACGATTTGAGCGAAGGAGGTCCGCGCGCGGGGAAGCACACGTGCGGAGGAGCTCTCCCCACTCCGAACCCGTTATATGCGCGATCGACGACAGCGCAGATACCGCGATCTGCTCTGCTCCACGCTCTACCGTGCACTGACTTCCTTCTCTCTCGACTGTGGCGAGTGGAGAGGGAAGGAACCGTGGGAGGGGCGCCACACGTGGCGCCGCGGCGTTTCCATGTGGCGCCACTAGTTTTCGAGCTCGTCGAACGATGGAAATTGCGTGCAGAAACTATTTGCAAAGCAGCCTTAATGAGCATTATTAAATCATACATTAAATTATTTAATGTATGATTTATGTATTCCTTTGTCAAAGGTGACGAGTGTCTAATGATTAGTACAAATGGACAGGTGTACTTCCATACATACACTTGAATTAAAACCTTTGACTATAGAATTGTATTGCAAACTATTTTCTGAGTGGAAATTCTATTGGTTTTTGGTAATCTATTCTATAGATACATATACATCTCCTATCATATTGGAATAAGCAAAACGAAATCCATTTTTATCATTTGTTAACAATAAAATTCCCTGAAGAAGAGTAACCAGCTGACTTGTGCATAAAGCAATACCTTTATTCCTCCCACTCCCTACGCTCCGTTCCTATCGAGAAATCCGGTCTTGATTGCTTTTATTTCTATTGGAAGCCAACACTGCGAACCAATTACCAGCGTAACGTTATCTCCCGTGGCCAGTGGACGTTCGACGAAATTAAAGCAACCACCGAAAATATCCCTTTACGCTCGACCGACTCATCTCCCGATTACCATAATTGCCTTTTTACGGTTGTCGCTTGGAAAAAAGGTAGAGAAGCTGCACCGGGGCCTTTTTCAATGTCACAAAGGCTGCATTATCGACTCGAGAACGGAGGTCCTCAATGGTATCGACGCGAACGCTCCAAGAGAAATAAAAGTCGAAAGGAGCGGTGACCGCTTTTGGGAGACTTTAACGGCGCGACGTTAGTTAATTCTCGACGGAACCTTAACGGTTCCCGCGAAGTAGGATGACCAGTGCTTTTCGTATAATATGTATAAATTTATTTTTGTTAATTACTGTACGGAAGAAGGCTCATATCGTGGTAAAAGATAATTCGAGAATGTGCTCCGTGACTACATGAATGTTTATTATTCAGAATCTATTATTTTCGTCACGAGTAGCACGTCATCGCATAGATCTCAGATAAACCCTTCTTTCCAAGCAAAGTTAGTGAAAATTCCAGAACCGTGTTCCCTGGAACGGTCTCGCTACATTCCATCGAACATGGCCGTTTGGAAGTGCAATCGATTAAACTATTCTCCTCGGGCTCCGTCCGTCTCGAATGCCGAGTCCCGTTCCAAGGCCCATTTCCCCTGA